TACCTTTTTGATCACGTAGTTTGGCAATGTACGGATAATGACGCCGCCAGAGAGCGGCTTTTGAATATTATCGGTGCAGTTGAAAACCTTAAAACACCACACGCGACAATCGATTTACTATAGTTCTGTACGTTAAACATAGGGTCGGGCATAGTGCGCTGCACACTCATCCAGGATTTAGGTGTACACAGAAAAAAAGTTGTTGAATATTACATCCAAACTGCTGCAACCAGGTCAATCCATCGGTTGTGTAATATAACGTTGTACGATGTACATCGATTTTGCGAACAAAATTACATCCATTGATGTAATATTGTATCTGCTTTTTGCAATTACATCATTATTTCATAACAGCGCCGGTGGTGTAGCCAGCAGGCCTGGGTTCAATCCCAGTCGGCGCCACCGGGATGTTCTGAGGCATAACATTTCTGATCACGCCTTCCTTCGGATGGGAAGTAAAGCCGTTGGTCCCCGGTTCATGAGTTGATGGGTCGATAGGTAGGGTCCAGGTGTGGGAGCTGCCTTCCTGGCACGTCGGTAGCATTGGTGCTCAGCACGGAAAACAAGATCGATGGAAAAAACAAACCAAAGGAAAAAAAAATCATTATTTCATGCATCAGCTTGAATTACATTGATCGATATTACATTTTGTTTTGCTGTGCACGGTAATTATTTTTATTGACTCTCGGTTTGTAAAGCAAAATTATAGCTGAAACATCAGTTCAGACCTGATTTGAAACCGACTTTCGGTATTTATTAACTGAATATCAGTTAAATTGCCAAAAGAATACTGTGTACTGTAAATCTTTTTACGGATTAAACGGTAAAGTACACGGACAGAAAATTGTTTGCATTGAACCAAAAAAAAAACTTTAATTGTATTTAAGCAAACAATTCCGGTTGAAATTATATTGCATTTTGTTGTTTCAATAATACTTATTCATATAAATTCAAAACAGGATTCTTTTTGTTTTAATCAGCCACTTGGCAACTGCAACTATTGTAAAAATAACAATATTCTATTATTAAGCCAACAATAGTTAATTTTAATTTAGCATTTATTTGCTGTGTTCATTTTCTGGGTCATGAAAGCAAAAAAAAAATCGATTCCCTCGTTTTCACCCGGACAAAAATGTAAACAATAACAATACTTCCGCGTTCCACGTAAGTATTGTTTTTAATTGTGAATTTCGGGAAATAAGTGCAAGATTTTCGAAAATCTTGAGACTTGAGGTAAGTAAGTATGCTGCAATTCGAGCTGCAGTTGATAAATATAATCAATGTTTCTGACGAGTACCAATGCTCCCGACGCCAGAAAGGCAGCTCCCACATCTGCACCCTACATATCGACCCATCAACTCATGAACCGGGGCTTTTATTTTATGCCTCAGAAATTCAATTGCAATTTCTGCAATTTTGTTTCAAAAAGAAAACGAAACATTAAAAAAAATTTCCAGACTATTTTTGCATCAATAAACATATTTTTATTGCTACTGCGTGAATTGTCAGACTTTATAAAATAAATTTGATTGAATCAACAAGAAATCTCTTTTAAAAACAAACATATTTTAGCATATTTTACAGCTTACGTCAAAACCATGAAAGCTCTTGTAAATTTTAACAGATTTCCTTTTTGATTTAACAATCCATGGGTTTTTAGAAACACAAATACTGGATTGTTGAAACATTCTTTTTGCTGCCAAAACAAAATGAAATTCTTATTGATTTTACGTCAAATAATATTACTTTTAAAATATTTTTTTCTGCGTGTAGTATGTTTATTGAATTGTTCTAATTTTCTGTACAAAGGATTACCGAAGAAACATATAGTACTAGCGGAGTGTGCCCGGTCTTGCTCGGAATTCAATATTAGCTTGAGTTTATGCGCCGATTCAAAAAAGCATGCTATATTGTACGTAGCCCCCTCTCTTTTTCAATGGGGTACCCCCTATGATCATCTCTGTCAGACAGACAGACAGACAGACAGAAATTAATTTTTATATACAGGGTGCAAATAATTTAAGGGGCGATAGAAGATCATATTTGAAGTAAAAAATTGCTCTACGCATATGATCAAACCTCAAAGATAACTGAGTTTTTTTTTGTTTTTTTTTTTCTGTTTTGGTCTATGCTTGCCATAAATTGGCTCTAACTCGACAACTATGCCATTTAGCACAACAATCTTGCCGATATTGGACAACTTGGTAAATTTTCTACTTAATAGTGTCATTTCTACTTTAAGTTAGCTGCGTTTAGACACATTTTAGGGATAAACGAGTCGAAAACTTGTGTTTTCCTACGGGGTTTCCCTTATTATTTCAAAAAATACGTAATAAAGTGTTGTTTTGTCTAACCAAAAAATGGCTCTCAATGCGCTCTACAACCATAAAGGTAACTCTAAGACTAGTAGGTCCCGAAGAAACGTGCTCAACTTTTTGGCTCAGCTCTGGTACTATCTTCGGTCTCAAGCTAATTGATGCACCTCTCGAAACATAGGAAAATCCACGGACCCCTCATTTCATCTGTCAAACTTTCATAGCGAATCAAAACAAACATAGTGTAGTACTAGAATTTCGACTAGAATGGGGTACGTTAATCGATTTGCTTGCGACCAATAAGCTAGACAAGTAGTGAGCCAATTTTAAGTCGTTAGTTTCCACCAGTTGCTACAACTCTCCCTTTGACACCAATTTTCTATCTTGTTTAGTTTTGTCGCAATTTCGTACTAAACACATCATGTTGGGTCGTTAATTAACGGTTGCGTAAAACACGAATTCAACCCCACCGTGCGTTGCTGTTGACGTCTGTTTGCAGCGCACATAGCACACTTGATCGCCACGCGAAACACAGTCAACTGTACTGAAGCGCAGCAGAGCAGCAGGATCAGACACAGCGGATGTTATGAAGCAGTTCCAGGAAGTGGAGGCAGCGGCTTAGAAGGCAGTGAAGGAAGCTAAGGAACATTCGTGGGAGGACTTTGTCGGAAAAATAGCACAACGGCAGAAATGTGGCGGACGATGAACACTCTGATAGGCAAACGACAATAAAACAAGGCATTTATAAAGTGACCCGATGGCTACACGGAGAAGGCGAAAGAAATAGCAGAAGAACTGGCTGAGCACTACTGTGAGAGATTGGCGACCTCAAGCTATCCTCAACTTTTTCAAACAGCGAAGGAAAGAGCGGGATCGCGTGGATTTTCTTCCGGACACCGACGACAGTATAACGCGGACTTCACCCTGGATGAGCTTCTGTGGGCACTCGAAAAAGGACGTAGTGTCTCTACAGGTCCTGACTCGGTAGGGTATCCGATGATCCGACGTCTGCCTTTGTTTGTCAAAATCGCGCTGTTGCAGCTTCTAAACAGAGTCTGGCGTAGTGGCGTCCCAAGCAACACACATGTTATATAACAGTTTATATAACCTTTATATAACTGAATTTGGTTGTAAAGAAGTTTACTCAACATAAATGCACGAAACTGTGTTACTTGGGGTTTACCCTATCAGCTGGCGAACCGGAATTATAGTGCCGATTCCGAAGCCAAACTGTTCTAAATCTGGACCTGCTGCTTTCCGACCTATCACTTTGACCAACTGCATCGCAAAGGTGTTCGAACGTATCGTAAACCGCAGATTGACGACTGAGTTGAAGTCGTATGGACGACTGGACAAGAGGCAGCACACCTTTAGAGCTGGGAGAGGCGTCGATACATACTTGGTGGAGTTGGATAGGTCATTGCCAAATCGGGACGAACACTGCTTGATTGCATCGCTTGATCTGTCGACAGCGTACGACACCACTTGGCGGTACGGTATCTTGCGCACTCTGCGTAAGTGGCAAATGGGTGGGCACATGTTCAACGTACTGAAAAGCTTTCTCACCGACAGATCACGCTGGTTAAATATCTCTTACCAAATGCTAGTCATGATTTAATTTTTTTTTTCCTTTGGTTTGTTTTTTCCGTCGATCTTGTTTTCCGTGCTAAGCACCTATGCTACCGACGTGCCAGGAAGGCAGCTCCCACACCTGGACCCTACCTATCGACCCATCAAATCATGAACCGGGGACCAACGGCTTTACTTCCCATCCGAAGGAAGGCGTGATCAGAGATGTTATGCCTCAGAACATCCCGGCGGCGCCGACTGGGATTGAATCCAGGCCTACTGGGGTGAGAGGTAATCACGCTTACCACTACACCACCGGCGCCGTTCATGATTTAAAATGATATACAAGAAGTTTGGAGATAATTGTGAACAAGTTTATAAACCACTTCAACAATTTTCCATATCCCGGATACTAGTCACGAAAACAAAAATCAAAGTCCCAGAAAGTAGTTTTTTTTTCGATATCGACGTTTCATGCATTTTTATGTTATTTGGCATCATACACAAATGTTTGATTTCCAAAATTTCATTTTCATCAGGCATCCTATTTACCTACAGGGTTTTTGATCTAATTTCCGTCATACTAAGCACAACCCTGGCATATTTTTTGTTAAAGATTACTCTTAAATTTATTCACTTTTCCATACCTACCGTTAGATTTGATAAAGAGTCACAAATTATTGAGATATTGTTTAAAATCTAATACAGATTCTTGATTCTAAATTCGTTCTACGAGTTTCAATTCCGTCCTTACGCATTGGAACGCCATAAGATTTTCTTCGTCCTACGGATAAACGTAGAAAAAAGGGATTCGCTGGGAGCGCTTCTTTTGTTTTGAGAACAATGAGCGTAAATATTCATACAATGCGCTCTAATAGGATTTATGTTGTAGCTAATGAACTAACGCTTCGGAACAAACCTATTATTGATTTGTGCACAGTGAAATCATTGATATAATTGATCTTTTCTGATCGATAGAACAGAAATGGGCGATTACGACGAAGTAGCGCTCTACCCTACCTAATTAAACATCGAAAAGATAGTTCTATTCTACACATTCCAGGTGGTCTCGAATTAAGCATTATTATAATCGATGAGTTTATGATCGGTACTTACCATCCACCTTGTCGTGTCAAAGTGAAGCCAAATCTCGAGTCACGATCCACCGACACACGAATTCCGATTATGCCAAGTCCTTGGGGTGTTACCACTTGACCTCGCATTACAGAAACACGGCTATAGAATGAAAACAGATAAAACATTAGTTACAATTTTTGCAGGAGCTTCGTCAATGGCAACTTTTATTTATCATAGTTTTATTGGTAACTAGACTAAAGTATGTTATGTGTGTGAGTTGTATTCGAACCATTAAGTATGCATTCATTTATTATTTTAAATTACCACTAAACTAAACATGATTTTGAGCTGATCGAGATGCAATAGTTACAAATAATATTAATACATTTAGATTTATAGTATTTTAAGTGAAATTATATGAAAATACAGAATTTGATTTGATATAAATACTGCTTGCATAATATTTAATTACATTTCATTATTATTACCTAAATCACACTTTATTCTTAAATCAATTTCTTAACTAATCGTACGTTGTGTAGAGTTGAATGTCAATGTTAAAAATGACATTATTTGTAAATAAGTAATCTGTTTTTCAAAAAAATAGATTTCAAAATGCAACAAAAGAAATCACCACGACACTTTTGGGGCAGAAATACCGGGCAAGTTGGCTATTGATAATAATAAATAGTGACAGAAGTAAATTATTTTGAAAATCAAAACGTATATTATTTATCATTTATTTTACTTGATGACGTCAACAGGCTCAATGCTATGATGGATTTCAAGATAGTAACAGTAGTGCCTCGTAACGTGTCTTGACTACTTCAAACTAGGGGAACGGGATTTTTTATTATCAAAGGAACACATCTTAGTCCTTGTAACTTGTTATGCCTTGTTAATAATGATAAGTGCTCGGATTTCCTTGAGAGAGGATGATCTTGAAACAACAAAAAAATGAGTTAGTTAGTCTTCACCTATTCCTAATCTTCTATTCGTTGTTTCAGCCAGCGCCGGTGGTGTAGTGGTAAGCATGACTGCTTTCTAACACCCCAATGGGTCTGGGTTCAATCCCAGCCGAGGTCGGTGGGATTTTTCTGAGGCATAAAAATCTCTGGTCACGTCTTCCTTCGGAAGGGAAGTAAAACCGTTGGTCCCGGCCCATGTGTGTTGTGAATGGGTGCGATATCCTACGCAGGTGTGGAAGCTGCTTTCTTGCACATTCGATTGGATCAATGTCAATGGATGGCAATCGATGTCCGTCGGTGATTGGCACTAGATTGCGGAACAGAGACCGACGTTAAATAAAGGAAAAAAAATATTCGTTGTTCCGTAGTTTGAAGTGGTTAAGACTAGGGTTCTGAGGCATGGTCATTATCGGTGTCATTGCTTGTTTTTGTTGCTAAGGAATCCAATTTCGACTGAAGGGCGCGCCTTTGAAGGGCGTTCCAACACTCCGAAGGGTATAAATAGCGGAGCCTTTCAATTAGAATCGATTCTTTGCGATGAAGGCAAGAATGACAACTGTAGCAAAACCGAATACTTCATCATTTCTCAATAGTGATGGAGTAATACGACATGCACTAAACTAAATACACGGGATAGGGTTTTTGATCTAATTTCCGTCCTACTAAGCACATCCCGCACTTTACCTCTCTTTTTTGAAAGGGTTTGAACAAAACATGGAATGTTTTCATCAAAGATAACTTCTAAATTTATTCACCTTTCCATACGTACCGTTGGATTTGATAAAGAGTCAATCAATGTTGAGATATTATTAAAAAATCTAACACTGCTTCTTAATTATAAATTCGTCCTACGAGTTTCAATTCCGTCCTAACGCATTGAAACGCCATTAGATTTTCTTCGTCCTACGGATGATGGTAGAAAAAGTGGATTCGCTAGGAGTGCTTCTTTTGTTTGAGAACAATGAGTGTAAATATTCATACAATGCTCTGTAATAGGCTTCATGTTGTGGCTTATGAACTAATGGATCGGATCAAACGTATTAATGTTTTGTGCATGGTGAAATCATTGATATTATTGATGATTTCTGCTCGATAGAACGGAAATGGGCGATTACGATGAAGTAGCGCTCTTCCTTATAGGGAAAATAGATGTAATTTCGGCCTAAATTCCCCTAATTTGGGTCCTTACATAAATTCAGCAATCGAATTAATTTTCAATAGCGACCAAAAATATCCATTATTACCGTCCCAATGACGCGTTCAACTAGATTAAATTGATAAATAGCAGATTTTTAGCGATGGGCCCAATCGAAGATTCATTGGCCAACATTAGAGCCATTTCCACTACTACAATAGATCAAATTACTGGTCGCAGTGGAGTTATGTTCCGAACAGAGAGAAGAAAAAAAACATCAAAAGTAAGACTAATATTTTTTTCCACTACAGCCCTTGTAATATGTTATAATAATTATCGACAAGTAAAATGCGATGCGTCTGAACATAGCATAAGTGAATAAAATACAGTACTAAAACTACGCGATCATTCACGGTTTACAGTACCGTAAAGCGGTGTATAAAGACTGTACTCAAAAAAAAAAAAAAAAATGCAACAGGCAAAAATGATCACCAAAAATTCATTTTAAGTCGGATATTTTTGAAACTCTCAGGGAATAAATAAACACATATAAGCTATGTTTTTGCAAAGTTGGCTTATTCAACCTCCGCTCCTAGGCTAAATGCCCGCACCTTGGACTTAACGCTACCCATCAAATCATGTGCATCACTTGCACCATCTTACTTACACACTTTTATCCACTCTCTTCAAATCCTTGTCGTTTTTGAAATCCTTCCCTGTTTTCCGGAGCTTGCCCTTTATAATCACCCAAAATTGTCTATTAGTCGACCTTCTTCTTCCGGAGCTTCGCCGGAACATCCAGGTGGGACTTGCCGACGGTAAACTCCAGGCCGGGGATCTGCTTGGCGTCCACTTTGATGTACGTCTCGTCGTCCATTACTATGTATTTTGGCCGCACCAACCACTCGCGGCACAGCTTCCTGGAGCAGGATTTGGCCACCGTATTCTGTTTATCAGTTCGGCTTGGCGCCTTTCTTACCTTGAAGTCCGGCCTGATGCATTGTCTACTGGACGAACCAGACGGAAGAATTGACCTTCTTGGCCACGTCCCGAATCGAAAGGTTCGGATTGCGCTTGAAGTAATCTCTCACCTTCCTTGCGTCCACAGGTCGGTCGTCTTTGTTTTTCTTCCACTGCCAGCTCTACGCTGGGTCGTCTGGGTCTCCTTGAATGATTTTACCACACGGTACACGGTCGAATGTTCGATTCCAAACTGTTTCGTGATGAGGGTGGCCAGATTATTTTTTCATTATCGGTAGCTTTTCAAAACTTTTATAGGTAGTTATCGGTAAGCCGGCTTCCCGAAACTTAAAATCCTTGTGAGCGGAGGAAGGATGAAAACAAATCACGCGCAATTTTGAACTTTTGAACCGAGCCATCAGTCCTTTAACACATTGGATTGTCCAGTCTAGAGTCGGTGTATAATGAGTCACGCCAAGAGAGAAGTCAAGTCTACCTATTGAACTGTCAAACTGGATACCTATCGTGCGAAGTAAACAAACATTACGATGCTATGCACGGTCCACAAAACTCAGCAAAAAATAATTTTTATATCACATCTAAGTGGATGTACTTCAATTGTGTCAAAAATATGGTATAATATTATTTGCCAAAAAGGACAAAATCATCATTCAAACAGTGCATGAACTGACATTACACTGCTTTTACTGCATTTGTTTATTTTTGTGGCTATAAAATTACATGAGAAGTGCATCCTCTTGGATGTAATTTTAAAATTTATTTTTTGCTGTCAAGGTATTGCAATAAAATATAAAAAATAATCGAAAAAATGATCATAAACACGCAGTGAGCATAAAATTGTCATGGGATACGTTTGATAATGACCAGTAATGAGAATTTCTACTATTTTTTATTAAGATAATTTGACAAAATCCAAGGTGTAAGTCAATCAGCACATTGTGCCGAAATTAGATTCGGCACAGCTTGGGCACAATCTCGTAGGCATTGGATTGTTGTAAATAATATGGGAGCACTGCTGGACAACTGTCTTTGAAGTTGTTCACAACATTACGTGCTGTTCGGCTGCATATTCAGGAACATCCTCTAATTGAATATACCAGAGGAACTCAGACCAGCAGTTCACTTATAGATCTAAATACGAAATGTAGGTTCTAGAGTGAGCTCAAAAGGAAGAGGCAGTTAGTCAGACCCCATTAGTAGCCTTAATTCAAATAATGCTGTAACTCACATAAAACAAACTACGGAAGTCTATTCATCATCCTCTATAGACGGTCTCTAACAATGTTCCCCACTTGTTCCGGCCGCTGACAGACCGTTGCTTTTCACATGTCGAAATGCTAGGTTTCTGGTCTGGTCGTTGAGGACATTATAATATCCTAAAACACAGGACTTTCATTATCCTATGAATACAAAACTAAAAAATTTCGCACACCCACCCCTTCCCACGTCATCCTCAATCCGATTTATCCTCAATACTATTTCAAACCAAAACATGATCTGGTGTCATGACCAGCACAATTGGCACACCTGCGGCACACATGCGGCACACTGTCAAAAAAGATGAAACCTCTTGAAAATATCACTGATATAGTAATTTACTACATCCACTATTTTTTTCTCGCTAGAAGTCATTTGAAGCTGATGTAGAAGTCCTCTGTTGCCAAGTGAAAAGAAAGGAAATCTTTCGAAAACCGTGATGCGCATTCAACTGTTTTTCTTTTGGCGTGACTCATTATTCACCGAATCTAGCCTAATCATAACAAATAAGTGTGAGTAGGACGAACGGAATACGGAACCAAAAATTGATAATCAGAAAACAGCATCTCCGCTAGGAGACAGACAGAGAAAGTTTTTTTTTTGTCTTTATTATAGAGACTTTCAGCCATAGGCTGGTTCAGAGAAAGTTGATTAAACGTTAAAAAAAACTAATCCGTTTGGATTGAAGTTGCAAAATGCATCGCGTTCGATCAAATACACTGACTACACGGAAAACAAAACATATAGTAGGATTGAACATTTTTTAAGATTACTTAAAATCTGTGATTCTCGGTACGAAAAGTGAAAAATCAGTAATT